AAAAAAAAAAAAAAAGAAAAAAAGGAAAACAGGCCGTTTGTTGATTATGAGTTCCTAAACTCATTTTGCCAAATGCTTTTTTAAATCTCTTCAGATGCACTCTCTCGTACAGCTACTTAATTATTCCATTCTCCATCATTACCAACCTCCTTGACAAAGCACAGAAGGCCCCAAAGTGATCCCTATCAAACAACAGAATGAATTTTTAAACCAGTGGGTAGTGGTAAATGAAGCAGTGGTCAGAGGAAAAAGTGGCTCCCTAATAACAGATGAATCAAACTAATTTTCATTCTTTACCAAGGTTATTATGAGCTGGATAACCATGTTACTGTACTTTGACATAAGCAACCAGGTCGAACATACAAAGTTACCATTTTTTTAGTAATTCAAAATGGTTGTATATTAGCAATTTCATATGGTTCAATCTAATTGCTTTATGTCAAGGTGCAATAACACGGTTATACTGATCACAATAACCCTGGTAAAGAAAGAAAATAATATAATAATCTTAGCAAGACATTTTACTAAAGTTTTCATGAGTAGGTATGTCTTGATTATTACATTTAAAAGTGACACAAAGTTGGTACTAATGGCTAATACACTGGCTGGCAGAGTCAAGATTTCCTAAGTTGGAAAGAAGATACAAAATTAATAAGAACTGAAAAAGATTTGAAATTCTGCACTTAAAAAAATTGGCACTATGTCCAGAAAAGCCAATGCATTAATTCCAACATAGAGATCTAGCTTTTAAAAGTTCATGTGGATAAGACCTAGCTGAGTGCAAACCTAACAAATACTCCCCCCGCTATAGCCAAAATGATCTAGTCTCCAAATACGTCACAGACTCTCTTGCTTTAATCTCTGTCCACACTATTCTTTGAGCACCGGAATACTCACTTTTCCATCCTTAGTCATTATATCCAAACTTCTAAGTCAATTTCAAATGTTACCACTTCCATGAAGACTTCAACTCCTATTAGCTGTATAACCTTTCTCTGAATTCCAAGTTCATGTCTTATTCAGAGTAGTAAATATATTCTATTTTGTACTTAACTCCTTTTAGTTCTGTTAAATGGGTAGTACTGATAAAGGAAGAGTGATAAGAAGAATCCATTATGTAGGAACACAGAAAAATAATCAAGGAGTTTCTAGTAAAATTCAGGAGAAACCATACATATGTCAACCAAACCGTGTGGAGAGAGAGAAAAATCAGGGAGAGACAACAGGCAGAACTGTGCAATGGCTCATATGGGTGAGGAGAGTTCCCTTACAACTCAAATTCTACATAAACATAAACACGAGTATATCTGTATCTTGTCGAATCTAAAATCAGTATATAGTGAAGAATACTGCACTAGTTATCAAGAGACCTAGTTCTTGCTCTGTGAAACAGGGCAGAACCTTATATAAGTCTCTGCTCTTCCCCGGACTTTCCATTCCTCACCCACAGAAGAAGCCTACTGGACAAAAATTAGCTTCGAAGTCTGCTAGAGATTCATCCCTTGCTTTGCACATACTTCCCTGCAACATACAGCCCCATTTTTAACTTTTACAACCATTTTTATTTGAAGGTAAAAAGTTCCAAAAGGCTGGGTGCAGGGGCTTATGCCTGTAGAACTTTGGGAGGCCGAAATGGGAGGATCAACTGAGGTCAGGATTTCAAGACCAGCCTGGCCAACATGGCAAAACCCTGTCTCCACTACAAATACAAAAAATTAGCCATGCTTCGTGGTAGTGCATGTCTGTAGCCCCAGCAACTCGGGAGGCTGAGGCATGAGAATCACTTGAACCCGGGAGGCAGAGGTTGCAATGAGCCAAAATCGTACTGCTGCACTCCAGCCTGGGTGAGACTCTCTCTCAAAAAAAAAGTTCCAAGGTAGAGAAAGTTGAAAGTTTAAAACTACTCCACAAATGATATCTAATCTCAGGCCCCTTACAGACCTTAAAACTGAGATTCTAATTCTTAAATTACAACATTTACCCCTATGTTTTGCAAGCCAGCAGTAAAATCAAAACGCATTTCAGTTCATGGATGGCATTACAATGATTGACTCAAACCTGACACTACAAAATGAAAGGACTACAAATGTGCAAGGGTATCATCTAGTTAAGTCATTTATTTATTAAAAAATAACAGTCTGACTGGGCACGGTGGCTCACGCCTGTAATCCTAGCACTTTGGGAGGCCGAGGCGGGCGGATCACAAAGTCAGAAGATCGAGATCATCCTGGCTAACATGGTGAAACCCCATCGCTACTAAAAATACAAAAAATTAGCCGGGTGTGGTGGCATGCGCCTGTAGTCCCAGCTACTTGGGGAGGCTGAGGCAGGAGAATTGCTCGAAGTGGGAGGTGGAGATTGGAGTGAGCCAAGATCAAGCCACTGGACTCCAGCCTGAGTGACAAAGCAAGACTATGTCTCAAAACACACACACACACACACACACACACACACACACTCACTCTCTCTCTCTCTCTCTCTCTCTCCCCCCTAGATACAGCATCTTAAACCTAAATTTAATCTTATGAAAGAGACCTTGGTATTAAGTCTCCTTAATGCAAGAAAATCATCTAAATCATCTATCCCTGGTCTTTATTTTAGCTATTGTTTAAAATACATGTCACAAAAAAAGTATTTCTTATTTTTGGGACAGCTTCAATTATTTTTTTCTGTGACTCAAGATCTAATTTCCTAAAATGTAATTTTCTATCAGAGAGAGCATTTCTCTCTCGAAGGAAAAATATATACAAAGGATTAATTCTTATCAAATAAACTTAGTTTTACCTTCTGAAATTCAAACAAGATGGCAGAGGTCAAGGGTGCAGAGCAGAGAGTACAGCCAGTGGAAATAAATCTAAAAATATACTGTTTAAGAAGGCAAATTCTAAAATCTGTATAGTATGTCAAATACTTAAATACAACTTTCTACGCTTTTAAAAGATAATCCTTGGAATTTTACAAACCTGTGGATTATCCATGTACCACACGAAACTATCTTCTCTGGTATCGAGTATGAAGTACCTTCGAAGAAATTTCCCACTGTTTTCATTTTCTTCAATGTCTAAAAAACCACAAATGCGATTCTGGCGATCCACATAAGGCATTTCTAAGCTTGAACATTACACTGTAAAATAAAAATATTAACAGTAAGCTCCCTACGAAACAGAACTTGCCAACATTAGGTAGGGCCAATTAAAATGAACACAACACCAACATCGGAGGCACTGGCAAAAATCACTTTTGAAATTAAGTTTATGAATAGCGGTTACTATATGTAACTATTTACTTTGATGGGGACAATGATGAGCTACTTCGCCTCAGTTGAATAATTTACCTACTTTTAGGTAAATAAAAAACCCCAGGTGAGCAAAAAAAAAAAAAAAGCTATCTAAATTTTAATTTCCTCGAGATAGTCTATCCTTTAGATTATTTTAGAATGTGTTCAAATTCACAAAACAACAACAGTTAACGTTTAGTGACCACCTACTACATGCTAGGCTCTGTGCAAGGTTCTTTTCCGTGCATTATCTCTTCTAATTTGAACAATCCTAAAGTAGGCATCATCAACCCCAGCAGATAAGGAACTTAACACAGAAGGGAAGTGACTTTCCAAAATTCCAAAACTAGTAGGCCAAGAGTCAAAGCCTGAATCCAGACTACTGCATTCTGGAGCTCTTATGCTCTACACCAGCCTCTCTCTCTAAAAACCCTGAATTGTTAAAACTAAAGTGAATCAAATTAAACTTAGTTAACACAGTGGAAAGAGAGATAAGCAGGTATGATGTGCCTCCTGGTGGAAGACACAAACATTGGTAGTTGGATATAGAGGGGATCTAAAAACCATTTTTTCTTGTTATAGAAAAAATGGTTTTTAGATCCCCTCTATAACCAACTACCAATCTACAGGAGATACAGAATACAGAGGAACATGCTAAGCTGCACTAAAAGAATTCAATCAGCAAAAGTCAGACTATAAGAAACAAAAGAGCAAGAAAAAGTTTCTTTAGCAAGTAACTTAGAAAAAAAGAGAAAGCGAGACATTATAGATTAAAATAGACTTAAAAGGTATATCATATTCTGGTCCTAAAGTACTGCAACTTTTGTTATACTGATTAAAGTTTAAAAACCATTAGGTGCCAAGCTTTGTTTCTCTAGAGACTACAGATAACGTGATTCCTTCCTGTGTGATGCTTAGTCCAAATCTGCACCAGACAGCTGTTCCTATTCTGGTACATCTATAGCTGGTACCATTGTATCTTTTGGCAGGATGAATTTACATAACTAGTGTTTTATTTAGAGGCTCAAGGTAAATTTAACTTACAGTGAAAATTCCATTACAATGCACACTGATATACTATGTATCTGCATTACTATTCCATATGCAGTCGGAGAAATTATAAAACACACCAAAAAGTTTTAAATAAAACCATCCAATAAGTTTGTGTGTTATTATTGTTCTTATATATCTAACAATTTAAAGGAAACAATTTCTTTAATAAATTTACCATAAGTTTGTTTAAAAAAAAAAGTTTACAATGTAATCAAAGCTTGAGAAATCAATATTCTATACTACAATATACTATAGGTAAAAGCTATCAACTTGCCATGAGAATAAACACAGATCAGTGGAAAAGAATTAAAAGCACAGAAACAAACCCATACATCTATAGTCAACTGATTTCAACAAGGGTGCTAATACCATTCAATGTGGGGGGAAAAAGCCTCTTCAACAAACGGTGCTAGTACAACTGGATACACACATATAGCAGAATGAAGCTGGACCCCTACCTTACACCCTATACAAAACTTAACTCAAAATGGATTAACAATCTAAGAGCTAAAACTAGAAAACTTTTAGAAGAAAATATGGAGTAAATCTTACATTTAGTATTGGCAATGAATTCTTAGATATAATACCAAAAGCATGAGTAACAACAAAAATAAGATAAACTGGACTTCATCAAAATTTAACACTTTTTTTTGCATCAAAGGAAGTCAAGAAAGTCAAAAGAAAATCCATAAGAGGAAAGAAAATATTTGCAAACTATATATCTGACAAGGGTCTAGTATCCAGAATATATAAATAACTTTTAGAATTCAAAAAGAAAAACCAGTCCAAGTTTAAAATGGGCAAATGTCTTGAAGAGCCATTTATCCAAAGAAGATAAACAGCCAACAAGAACATTAAAAGATGCTGAATATCAGTCATTAGGGAAATCCAAATAAAAACCACAATGAGATAAAACTTCACACCCACTAGAACGGCTAATTGAAGGAGAGAAAAATAAGTGTTGTCAAGGACATGGAGAAACTGGAGCCCTCCTACATTGCTGGTGGGAATGTAAAATGGAACAACAGCTGTGTAAAACCGTTTGGCAATTCTTCAAGAGTTAAACATAGAATTACCATATGACCCAGCAATTCTACTCCTAGGTACACACACACACACCTCATTTTACTGTGCCTCATTTTATTGTACTTCACAGATATTGGGGTTTTTACAAATTGAAGGTTTGTGGCAACAAACCATGGCCAGATCAGAGCTCACTGAAGCCTTGAACTACTGGGCTCAAGAAATCCTCCTGCCACAGCCTCCCGAATAGGTGGAAGGACGACATGCATGTAACACCACACCCAGCTAACTTTTTTATTTTTTTGTAAAGACAGGATCTCATTATGCTGCCCAGGCTAGTCTTGAGCTCCTGGCCTCAAGCGATCCTCTTGCCTCAGCCTCCCAAAGTGCTGGGATTAAAGGCATGAGCCACCATGCCCAGCCAAGTGTCTCACTTTAAACCAAAAGCCAGAAATGATTAAGCTTAGTAAGTAAGTCATGTCAAAAGCTGAGACAGACCAAAAGTGAGGCTTCCTGCACCAAACAGCCAAGTTATGAATGCAAAGGTAAAGTTTTTGAAGGAAATTAAAAGTGCTACTTCAGTGAACACAAGAACAAGTGAAACAGCTTTATTGCTGATATGAAGAATGCTTTACTGGTCTGGACAGAACATCAAATTAGCCACAGTCTTCCCCTTAAGTCAAAACCTAACCCAAAGAAAGGCTTTCTTCAGTTATTTGAAGGCTGAGAGAGGTGAAGAAGCTGTAGGAAAAAGAGCTGGAAGCTAGCAGAAGTTGGTTCATGAGTTTTAAAGAAAGAAGCCACCTCTATAACATAAAAGTACAAGGTGAAGCAGCAAGTGCTGATGTAGAAGCTTCCACAAGTTATCCAAAAGATCCAGCTGAGATCAAGAAGGTGGCTACACTAAAGAGATTTTCAATGTATGTGAAAATCTTCTATTGGAAGACACCATCTAGGACTTTCACAGATCTAGAGATGTCAATGCCTGATTCCAAGACTTCAAAGGACAATGACTATCATTAGGGGCTAATGCAGCTGCTGACTTTAAATTGAAGTCAATGCTCACTTACCATTCTGAAAATCCTAGGGCCCTCAAGAATTATGCTAAATCTACTCTGCCTGTATTCTAAAAATGGAATAACAAAGTCTGGATGACAGCACACTTGTTTACAGCATGCTTTACTTAATTTTTTTTTTTTTTTTTTTT